CTGGCCAGCTGCTGGAGGAGGCAGAGAAGGGAAGTCCAGGCTCCTACCTGGACTGGAAGACTGTGGGAAGGGGAGGGACGGAGCAGCACATGCCGGCTGCTGAGTGGAGGTGGAGGTGGAGGCAATTTAGGATGAAGGAGCACGAAGTACTTCGTGCCCATCTCTAGTCATTACACTAATAAATATTAACAGGCCTTAAGGATCTCTATGTACACTGAAGCTTGGGGAAAGCTCTTTTCTTGGTTGGCATCAGGAATGTTCCAGCCAGCATGGCCACTTTTCCAAGGCTCTGGTAAACTGAAGCAAAAAGGACGTTGATGGTGGAAAGAATTACAATAGCAACACATAAATAAATCTTGCATTATTGTCTATTTTCTTTCTTCGATTCCGTTCTGTATCCATACCCGGGATGCTGAAACATTTTTCTTAACCAAGAAAAAAGTACAGTACCAAACATTCATGACATATTAGCTCCCCCTGCTGATCATTTGCATCTTTGCAATTCAGCTAGAACCTAGTGGTGCCATTAGAGCATACATTTCTGAAGAAACAGCTCAGGTTATTTTACCACTCTTTATTTCCTGAGAAACCACAGTTCTTGCTCTGGGTTCCCAATGAAGAGGCCACCACTTTATTTCCTGAGAAGCCACAGTTCTTGCTCTCTGGGTTCCCAATGAAGAGGCCACCACTCCTACTGCGACATTCTACTGCACGCTGTTCACAATCCTGTCCATAGACACCAGCAACTGTTCAAGAAAAGGGCCAAAAGGACCATGTATTTCCACATGTTCCTACCGTACCAAATTACTGCAAGACAGATAAGAAATCTTGATTAACCTCTGACCCTCAGCAATCCAAAGACAGATTGTGTGTGAAGACAGGGCCTTTCCAGTGGTGATATCCCACCTTTGGACATCCAATAGGGAATTTATTTTTTCCCAAGATTTGCTAAACTTTTACAACACTTTCAGTAATCTCAAGCCTCCTGATACCTTCCCTTATGAAGGATTGATTTCACTGTGGCTATCAAAGTAACCACTCTCACCAATGGGCATTAGAAAATGATGAAATACATGGGTTGATTTGTTTTACTTTCCAAGGAGGCTCCTCTTTCTGCTTACACATCTTACTAATCAGACCGAAACCTCTTTGTTTTCTTCCTCTGTTTCCCACCTGCGGGTGAGTAGAAGGATCAGCCAGGCCTTCCATGTTGCGTCCACCTGCGGGTGAGAAGGATCAGCCAGGCCTTCCATGTTGCGCTCTGCATGCATGGGATATCAAAACTTGGCTGAAACTGAACAACAGAGGTCACTTCAAAGGCTAAGACAAAAGGAATGACAAATGAATTTAAAAAAAGAAAAGACCCAAGAAAAGGCCTGTTCGTTCTACAAAAAGACACACAAGACATTGTTCTGGGGGAGGAAAATGAATTGTATTTATCAGAATATACAACTGTAAGAGCAGTTCAGTGGGATAAAGCAAGCAAACATTATTATGTATTTCAGACCTTCAAAGTTCTCATTAATCCCCCTCCCGAGTCCTACCTACGAATACGTTTGTATGATTGGAAAATAACCAATTCCCTGTTGATTAACAGAGCCAACCTCCCATCCTGATGCAAAGTAATTGGTGGGGGGGGCAGAGAATTTCTGCAGCAGAGTTAACATGCACATATTCTTTCACTGTCGCTTTGGAAAACACTTCGCAAATAATTAAAAAGAGAGGGAACCCTCTCTTTCTGTCATTCTTGCACACTTTGCTATATCAATAGTACAGGTTATCGTGATCTGGGGAGGGGTTTGTGTGTGTGTTCCTGTGAAATTTCAGGAAGGCGTAGAAGATCCATGTGCTGGCTAAATAAACACCAACTGCTGTGTTTCTCTTACTTGGACCACGAACTAGCTTATTATCCGGTAGTAATATACAAAAAAGGTCCTGTTTTGTTGCTTCCTGGGAGGCATAGTTTATCGGGAGAGGCCTTCTGGACAGCCTAAAGGACAGTAAGACTCCGCCTCCTAGGAAGCACTGAAGCAGCTTCCTTTTTGGTACATTAGTAACAGAAAGCAAGGTCTGGAATAAGGCCTAGTCGAGGAGAGCAAAATAAAAGTGTGGGGCTTTATGCTGGAATTCCCAGAATTCTACCTGAGGAATTCTTGGAGAATTCTGGGAACTGGAGTCAAAAGACAAACAAATGGCACACCCCTATCAGGCTGAATGCAATATTGCATCCCTGATGTTTGATTCAGTTTTACAGGACCATGGAGGACATTTTATTGAATCCAACGATGAGCTGCCATATATGGACAGGTCACCTTTTATAGGCTTTATGCTACTCCTGCCTCTACAAGTGAAATGGAGACTAAGCAAATGGATGGTGCCACCATCACCCACTGACCATTCAGATACAATAAGCAAATGAATATGCATATACAGTATGGTCTTTCCCCTAAAATAAGACCTAACCGGAAAATAAGACCTAGTATGATTTTTCAGGATGCTCGTAATGTAAGCCCTACTCCAAAAATAAGCCCTATTTAAGTAAAACCCCACCCTCCACCTTTGTGCAGCAACCAGAAGATGACATGACTGCATCTGAATAAATGTAGATGGTTGTTAATGACAAAAAATAAAACATCCCCTGAAAATGAACCCTAAAGCATTTTTGGGAGCAAAAATTAATATAAGACCCTGTTTTATTTTCGGGGAAACAGGGTATATGCTTAAAAAGCCAACAACCAAGGGGACTGTAGGCTGCCTAAGGGAAACTGTACAACCGGATTCTTGACTCAGTAAATAATCACTTGAAATGTTTAAATTTGGAGCCACAAATTTCTTGACCAATCCATGGGAGTTTGCATTCTCTCTCTCTCTCTCTCTCTCTGGAGGTAATTCCCTTCATTTTGAAATGCATCTTTTTAAAAAAAGGCATCCAAAAGCTACAGACAGGGACTCAATGGTTTTCATGCGTTTAAAAGGAAACAAGAGTTCTCACCAAAACATCAGTTAGGCCTTACTGGCAGCACAGACCCATGGACAATGATTGACCTGAGTCAATACTGCAACAGAGTGTATTTGAAGAAGGCAGAGAGGTGCAAGTGTGCTGTGTATTTCATATTAAGAGACATGCTGCTTTCTAACCAGGAAGGGAGGGAAACAAGGACTGACAGTCCATCAGACTGGCCTGTTCACCAGTTGTGAAGACAGCTCATAAAGAAATGTGCATCTTATTTTTATCAAAAAAAAAATTAGGGTAAGAAAACAGATGTGGTGCAGGCCTTTGGCACACACATCCGTTAGCTGACTAGCATAGAGGAAACTATAGTTAAGTTAGCATGTTTTCAATGGCCTGTCTAGACTAGCATAGACTTACCTAGAGAGGAAACTATAGTTAAGTTAGCATGTTTTCAATGGCCTGTCTAGAAGAGAGAACTGAGGTGTGAGAGGGAATGAGACAGTCACGAGAAGCAAGCAGACAGAGAAATCAGAGCCAGAGCCATCATTCCTATCCAGGCATCAGGCTTGCCAACGTGCAGGGCTCAAAAGGTGGTGCGGAAGTGGGTGAAAAGGTAAACCCTGGCTCCCACATCTGCACCCTACTTCGGCATCCTGCAGAGCTTTGCATGTTCAGCACAAAGGCCTGCAAAGGTACTGTAACCTTGTTCAATGAGCAACAGCCCTTCATAAAGAAAGGCTGCTGCTGGTCACAGAAAGACTGAAAGCACATTCAAGGTGAATGCACCTATACAGTGGTGCCTCGCAAGACGATTGTTTCGCATGACAACAAATTCGCTTTATGATGAGGTTTTTGGAGCGATCTTGTGCTTCGTTTAACAATGTTTCGCTTTACGATTTTAGGGACCTTGCCTCACAAGACAATTAAATTTACGGACCTTGCCTCGCAAGATAATTAAATTTTAGGTGCCTGTTTTTTGCTTTACGATGTTTTTGACAGCTTGGTCTTGCTTCACTATACGAGTCTTTTAATGGTCTTTGTTTCATTAGACGGCTGTCTTCGCTTGGGAACCGCGTTTTGCTTAACGATGTTTCCTATGGGAATTTTCACTTTACGATGACAATCCGTTCCCATTGGAACGGATTATCAGGTTTTCAATGCATTTCAATGGGAAAACGTGTTTCGCAAGACTATGTTTTCGCTTAACAGCAACTTTCATGGAATGAATTAACATCATCTTGTGAGGCCCCACTGTACAAAAGAAGAATGAAGGGAGATAAGATAGCACTTTTCAAATATTTGAAAGGTAGTCATACAGAGGAGGGGCAGGATCTGTTCTTGATCATCCCAGAGTGCTGGACATGTAGTAATGGGCTCAAGGTACAGGAAGCCAGATTTAGGCTGAATATGAGGAAAAACCTCTTAGCTGTTAGAGCAGTACAGCAATGAAACCTGTTACCTCAGGAGCTGGTGAGGGCTCCAACACTAGAGATATTTTAAAAAATGACAACCATCTATCAGATCTACTTTGATTTCAATTCCTGCATTATGCAGGTCGGACTCATTGGCCTTATAGGCCCCTTCTAACTCCATTATTATAACGTTCTATATACCTATGTAGACTTTTCTGCTAAATATCTGAATGTACACATGGCTTCCAGGTAGGGTGTGTAGGGCATAAGAAGCAGGATTTACTGCATCCCCATGTCATCACCACCCTCTGAGTGCAGTACACTTTAAGGTTCAACATCCAAATCACAGGTATGAGACAGAGAGCACAGTGTTTGTGGTTGTGAGAGAATGAGTCAGAGCAGCAGACAAAGAGAAACTGAATCAGAGGAGTGAGTGAGAGAGAGAGAGATGTCAGCAATTCTTAAAAAGAAAATGTATTATATAAGAGAGACAATCAAAGAAACACAGAATCAAAAGGGGAAGAACAAAGTGTGAAAAATATGTGTGAGCAAGAAACATAGATAACATCAAAATCTGAGGGGAAATACTGTATATATAGATGAATAAAATCTGGGAACATTCAGGCAGACAAGAGTATTTTTGTGTACATAAAAATAAGGGTTTTATTCACAATTACATTGTCAGCCATCAATATAAATAACACATTTCCATCTAACAAATAAGATTAACCTCCAGTATAATGCCTAACCATAAAAACTCCTCAACTTCTAAATCAAACATTTCTGTGAAGTTTCAGTATTTGTGAAACTGAGAACTTACTACCCTCCTCTCCCTGGCTTAAGACCCATGTCAATTACAGTGTTCCCTCCATAGATTATAATGGTGTTTTGCGACACTGATCTGTAACACACTGATTTTGCTCTAGGCTTCTCCTATAGAAGGGGTAGGCAAAATACCAACCAATCATTTCCTGCTTCTTAAAACAGGCTATTTCACGCCTTTTAAAAAGGGCTTCCCACAAATAGCCTGTAAGCAAGCCACCATGTCCTTAGAGGCCTATTTCTTTATTTATTGTAGGGGAATGTTAAGGTTAAGGTGTACCAAGGTCCAGGGATGGGTAAAAATGGCCCCCAGACCCACCACAATTGCCCACCCCTTACTTATAGAAAGATGTAGATTGTCCATTCAAGAGTAGTTTCTTGTTCTGAATTAAATCTCGCCAAAGCACATTCCACTGGATCTGAACTCTACTCTCCAAATAGGTACTCTTGAAATCTAACTGCTATGAATTTAAAAGCAAAGACATCAGCATAATACAATTGTGTAGCATTACCTTTTACCACACAGGGCAAAAGCTAAGGACGGAACCTTTGTAAAGTGGTCTTTATTTCTTAACAACAGGTGTGGCCTTCCCTTGGTCTTCCACCTTCTTGATGGCAGCTTGGATTACTTCTTGGTCGCCAAGAAACCGATGCTGGCCGAGGGGGCGCAGATTTTCATCAAGTTCAAGGAGGACTGGGATGCCGGTAGGAAGAGTCACGTTGACTATGGCCTCATCAGAAATGTCTGAAATTCAGAAAAATGAATATTTGTACATTCCCTTGGTTCTATCTAGGTAAACTCCTGGGCTCAAAGGTGTTTCCCAAATTTTCAATATCTGGGGTACTGGCTACCCACTGTTTTCCGACTTGCCCAGTGACAGTCCAATAGCAATCTACTGCCTGGACAACAGATATGCTGCTGCTATTCCACTGTGTGTGTCAACCATAGCAGGCTGCTGTCCTTTCCTTCCTTGGTTTAGTATCAGTCCTCACTCACTGGCAGCAGGGCAGGAGGAACCAGCATCTCAAGAAGGGTCGGTGCTCAGACCCATCGGTGGAGGAAAGGAGATGTATCTAAACAGGGCCTTGCCTAATAATGAATCCCATACATATGCCACTCACATTCTTTTCTTTAGGAATCAAATACCCTAGGAACTTGGGACTCATAGCTTCAGATACTTCAGGATTTCTTTCATGACATATTCTGAGCCAAAATTATTTACCTATTAACTGGATCTCTGTAATCTAATAACCAAAACTCTCTGGATAGCTTTCCCTCTACCTAGTGCACTCTCATTTATGTTCAGCCACAAGACCCATCATCCTGATTGAGCAAGGCCATTTAGCTCTGCAAAATAAGACACCTGGTGGGCATCAGGTTTCAGGAAGGTTAAGAGACACGGTTTAAAAAAACAATATAACATTAAAAGTTCCGATACCCACAAAATAAACTCAAAGTAAAACAACAGTGAAGAATAACAGCATTAAAGTAAACAAGGATCAACACATTCTTTTTTTTGAATATTGAAATGCTAAGGAGAATCAAGCCTGATAAAACACACCTTCTGGGGTTCTAAAAAGAACAATAACACACAAACATTTCTGGGGAGGGGATTCTATTAACTGGGCACTACTGCTTAAAGGCCCTCGCCTCATTTGGTGGGGAGCACCTAGAAAAGACAGCAAGGTGCTTACCTAAAAGAAGAAATGCTCTGTTAGACCATCTGACCTGAAATCACGAAAAGCCACGGAGCAACAGTGGGCAAACTGTGGGACATGTCAGACACTTTGACCCACCCTCCCACTAAACTGTCCCCAAAACACAAAAAACATCCCTTCAAAGACTGACAGCATGATTTGCATTTGCAGACAAAGCTTTTTTTTCAGGCTGTAAGAAAGAGTATGCGGTCACCAACTGGGCCAGGGGAAAATGGACCCACATCTCTGTTCAGATAAAGTTGGCTCGTTGAGTTTGATACTGAAACAGCCTGGAAATCAGCACAGTTGACAAAGCCTTGGCATGTATCAGGATAATGTCCAGTTGATTCACATCTCCTGGTTCGCATTTCAGACTGGAACACAGATGATCTGGAACAACCTGCAATTCTACAAACCCTTCTACCACAGTTTTAGAAAGTATAAGGGCATCCTTTTAAAAGTGAAAGTCTCCCACATACAAATCTTTTTGAGTTTTAGGTTTCAAGCTTCCTTGGTCACAGGAAAGCAAGATGATTACCACATGAGGCTGAAAATACTTGTGAAAAAGGTCCAGGAAGAAGCCATACATTTTTTTATGTTCTCTGCTTTCTAGAACAGAGGGCCACCCCCATGCACTGACAGGGAGAAGCCACATTTCCCTCTTAAACACAAGTGACCCGGGAAGCAGGCACAGTACCTTCTGATACTCCAAGCCACCTGCAACTGTAAAAGAAAACAACAGCAACAACAGCAGCAAAACAAAGCCTAGCTTTTAGACCATGTCATATTTCGTTAGACCATGTGCATTTTACCTTTCAAACATCCAATGGAAATGGTACAGAATGAACTTCATGGTCCACACAGAGAAAATACGCTCACAGACAGACATGAGGGTATTCGTATACAAATAACCCCGCAGAGGTGAAGATAACACTCCAGAGATCACGGTCAGCTAGCCACTCATGGCAGAAGGTGGGATGATGAGCCTCCTCGCCAGGTCGAAGAGTGGCTTGCAGACCAGGCACTCTGGAGCGACTGGAAGGGAGAGTGGACCCTCGTTATCTCCACATGTGCAACTCTGGAGCGACTGGAAGGGAGCACGGAGCCCGCAGCCACAGTGGAAGGGTGAGTGGACCCTCGTTATCTCCACATGTGCAGGGGTATTCGTATTCATATCACAAACCATTCACATTCACCCACAAACCAAGTCATACGTGTCCAAACCTCTTTCAAAACCTTCCAAACTAATGGGCAGTCTTTATCACAATGTGTGGCAGTGAACCGCAGATGCTTATGACACACACGTCTTCTGCAGTCCATTCTCTATTTTCTTCAACACCAGGTGGTCACCCTGAATGATCTTCCCTTCTTTTGCATTTGCCTCATTTCTCAACATACTAAAGATCTTTGCTCCAGCATTAGAGGATGGATTCAATGAGTCAATATGGGTACAAACAATGGTTCTTGTTGAACACATTAAAATGCCCCGCAGGGAAGGGAAGCAGATCTGAGCAGCAGCTTTGGACCTAGCCACATCAAGAAAAATGCATCACCATCAACCACATGTGAAGATGATGCAATTTGTCCCAAATGTTGCTTATGATGAATAAGGAGATAAAGGGATGGGGAGACGTTGGACAGCTGCAGAACACCCACTTTCTCTTGGCATTAAAAAGAAAATCGGACAATCTGCTAACAGTTGAGTAAAAACGAGATTAAATTTGTCTACTGGTTCATACTGTACATTAGAAAAGACAGAGGATATCTTGAAAAATTCAAAATTCCTCTAACAGTGAAATCCTGACTCATAGATGTGCTGCCTGTTGGGGGTAATAGGCAGAATCCCCCTTACCCTGGCAGAACCGATTTCAGAAATCTGCTGGCAGAGTCAGAACTGGTCTGATGGCAGATGAGTCAAATAGGGCGGGAGAAGGGGCCAACTTAAGGAGAATATGAGTTATTGTGAGATCCAAATCTTCCATCTCAGGGGCACAAAGTTACACCAGAGTGAAGTAGTCCAGTAGCCCCCATCTAGGAAAGATTTGGATCCCACACAGCTTTAGCTGGCCTAATATCAATTCAGTTGGTCATCACCTACCTTGGCTAGTTACGATTGCATCTGAAAGCTGCAATCCAAAATAAGAAAATGATGTTAACTTATAACTTGATAACTTATTTGTAGCCCAAGAGGAAAGCATCATTACTAAGAGGGGGAAAAGGGAGGACAGCATGAATCATGATGGCACTACAATTTTGATGAGAACGTTAGGAGTTCCCACAGTCAAATCAGCCCTACATTTAAAACAGGGATATCCCCTTTAAACACATTTCCCCCACCTCTTTGAAACAATACTGCATTAAGTTATAGGTATAAGGTATACTTCCTGGACTTTCTGTTGCTGGGATAACAACCTTTGATCTTTTTGAAGAAATAAAGGGTGATCTGGAAAGAGGAGCAGTGGCTTCAGACCCTCTCCTCACTTGAGTTCATGTCCTCAGATTTCCTCTCCATTGGCCATTTCTGCAAGTGAGCAATTTGTTATGTGTCAACCAAGGCCAGGGTCCAATTACTTCAGGCATCTGTAAGACAACCTGGTTGACCTTTCACTGCATTTCTGCTTCCACAGCCCCTTGCATGTTGTGATCCCAAACCTTTTAAGCAACCCACTGGAGTCTGCGTTAATGCTCATACACACTAGGAAATCGCATCTACTTAAATGTGATGATCTATTAATAATAGTGTGGGCCAGGGGACATCAACCCGGAGGACTTTAATTATTCCTAATGGAAAAAAAATGGAATTTTGGGTAAACACTGTCAAAAGAATCTCCTATAAAGTATCTTCTTTTTTGGGATGAATTAAGCAAAAGGTCTTCTAAATGTGCTGGATGAAGATCCCTATGGAAGGTAATCTATAGCCTTACAAAATGACAACTCCTATGCAAACTGTCCAATCCAACTGTTTTATAAAGTTTCACCTGATGTTCACATTTGGTACTAGTCCCTAGCATTGTAAATATATAATAGACTATTTTTAAAAAATTATGGCTGTTTTCATCTTTAATATTTTCCTACTTCTTAGGCAGTATAGGCTTACGCAGCGTGGAGCACAGCGGTTTGCAACTCTCTTATATTACCGTATTTTCGCTCCATAAGACGCACCTTTCCATAAGACGCACCAATTTTTTAGGAGAAGAAAACAGGAAAACATAATCTGTTTTCTTCGCTTCATAAGACGCACAGACTTTCCACCCCCCCTGTTTTGTGGGGGGAAAAGTGTGTCTTATGGTGCGAAAAATACGGTAAGTGCATACGGTTTGCAACTCTCTTATATTACCATATTTTCGCTCCATAAGACGCACCTTTCCATAAGACGCACCAATTTTTTAGGAGAAGAAAACAGGAAAACATAATCTGTTTTCTTCGCTTCATAAGACGCACAGACTTTCCACCCCCCCTGTTTTGTGGGGGGAAAAGTGTGTCTTATGGTGCGAAAAATACGGTAAGTGCATGCAAGATTTTGCTTGTACAAAATGAAAGCAAGTCTACTTTTGAGGCTGTAATCTTGCACACACTTACCTCTACTAGACAGAATATACCCATGTAGAACCAACCTGCCTAGCATAAAAACATTTAATCCACATCCAACCAAGACTGTCTTTCACCATTGCAGTCATCTAGGATCGTGGCCAAAATTGCTTGTTTGTGTTCTGGTTCAGCTTTACTGATACAGCTTGTGCTTTGCAAAATGTAAAAGGACAGATGCATGTGCCAACAAGGTCACAACTGAAAATGCCACAAAGCGAAACACAGGAATAGTAGGGAAATGCACAACAGAGAGGACATAAACATTATTTGAATTGGCTTTGTCACTATAGTATTGGGACTAGGTCTTCTTTCTGCTAAAGTTTTCAAGGGAAATGTTCATTTTAAGGACACAGATGCCTGTGCCAACAAGGTCACAACTGAAAATGTCACAAAGTGAAACACAGGAATAGTAGGGAAATGTGCAACAGTTTTCAAGGGAAATGTTCATTTTAAGGAAGAATCCCCAAAAAAGCAGGAAACAAAAGCTGAAAATAGCATTACAGAAGTGCCCAACGTGGCAACAAAGGAGAATGGATAGAGTCACACTGTCAGTTGAAGCAGCACAATGATGAAGGAGCTTTAAGATGCACGTTATGGGTCACTGGCATTCGAACAGCATTCTTGTTCCTTTGCATGTAGGGAAAAGCAACTTGGCAGAGAAACAGAACTACATGTGTAAGTGATGGTGTAAATCACCAGTATGGAAGCCATTGACCCAAACACTTTTCTACCACATCACTAAACAAATCACCTTCATACAATCAGAAAATCACGACCTGATTATGCAAAGCATTTTAGGTCATCCTTGCCACTTAATAAAAATACAATGAAAACTTTGTCTGGCCCTAGAATCTATTCTTGCAGACAGGCATTTATGGGGCAGGCAAAACCACCAGACTTTGCCTTCCTATTAATCAGAATTGCAGAGGGACTCTTTAGCCTTCCATCTGAGGAGGATGCATTTCAAAAAGCTTTATAAGCAGGAGTTTGCTTAAAAGGTTTTCCCTGAAAATAGCTAATTTTAAAAAGGCAGCACAAATACTAGCTGAAGTAATCTGATGATCAAGTACCTCATCTACTTCAAAGTCTCTGCACTTAAATGCAACACAATACTCCTGCCAATGAAGCATAGCAATAGAGGTAAAGGCAGATGCTGATGCAAGTCATTTCTAAACTGGGAAGGGCAGAATGGGTGCCAACACAACTCACAGATTAGCATTCCAAATCACTCTAGCATGTCCACTGCGTCTTCACCACCTTGAACCCAGGACAAGAAAGAAACTAGGGCTCCATCAATAAAGGGAATAAGAGTGTCTTTGAAGAAAAGCTTTACCTGTTGGCCAACACTTAATATACTTTAACATCATAAGGACCAATCATTAAAACTAGAGGTGGAAAAATTACTGTTTGGACTACAGCTCTCATTAACTCCCCAGCCAGCGGGGATTGGAGGCAGAGGGCCTCCCGCCCTTTTCTCCCTGCCTTTCGTAGGTCGAAGCTCCGGCCACAAGTGGAACCAAAATTTTGCGGCCGGAGCTTTTCATACCTTGAAATTTTCATAAGTAGGGACCTTTGTAAGTCAAGGGTCCACTGTATGGAGAACTAGCCTGCTGACAACCTCTGTAACAGCAATAGGAAATGGGTGGTTCTCAGATGTTGGACTTTATTTTTTATCTTCATAGCCCCTTTATCTTCTACTTTCCTATATCCTGCTAGTAAAGTGAAGCAGACGTGTGCTCTTCATGTCTTTCTAGGAGATGATGAGGCCGAAGAACAGGAGGAAATGCATCATCTGCCAGATATTGTTAGTGTCCAATTCTCATAAGCAGCATAAACGCTGGTGAGGAACGGCAAGACCGAAGTGCGATTTATCAACAAACAAAACCCCAGCAACAATCCCCTCTCTCAGATATTCCCAGTTTCAGTAGATTCCACCCAAAATTGGTCATTCCAGAGAAATACTTGTCAAGAGGAAGGGAATGGGTGGTATGAGTTGTAAGCCTGCCCACTCTTCAAAAACTTTACATCCCAGCCAAGAGATTACTGTGCCCTAATATGGGGCACAGAAATTTCAGAATCAAGCAGGTTCTTTGAAAGACTTAAAGATCTTGTTAGCTTCAAATTCCTTTAGGACTCCAGTAGCAATTCCTTTCTCTCCCCTCCCCATAAGAGCCAGCGAATGACAAATTTCAAAAGCAACTCTGCTCTGGGCCACCCATTCCTCACCCAAGCAAGGGCGCCTTTTGAAAAAGCGCAGCTGGCCGAATCTGCACTTTAACAGTGCTCTGCTCTCCTTTCTTGGGCAGAGAAAAAGCTGGAACACTGTATGCCATGCACAGCCTGCAAATATTTCAGGCTGAGAGAGTTCCCTGAAAGCCAAATCTAGCAACAGCAGCAAGCCTAATAGCTGGAGGAGAATACCAGGTATAGAGGTTGTATACTCTGAATATCAAATACTGGGGAATAACAGCAAACATTACATGTGACTCCCAAAAATACGTAGCTAGCTGGTAAACTAGATAAACCCTGGTTTGTTCCAGTAATGCAGTTCCTGGACATAGATAGAAGAGAACAGAATGAAGCTTGAGAGGATAAGAAAAGGACAAAATTATGAAGGTGAATTTACATCTCTTCCATGGGCCATCCAGTTTGCTGCCTTATTCAGGAGTAAAACCACTGTCCATCCAGCTTGGCATGGTTGACTTGTTACTTGAAGTCATTTTGCACTACTACCTACAAGATTCTTTCCAACCCTACCTGATAATGCTAGGAATTTAACCTGGGACCTTCTGCAGGTGAGATGAATGCTCTAACATTCATCTAAGTTCACCCACCCCCACTTCCCAGCCCACACACAATGTTCATAATGTAACCTTCACTTAGCAGAAAAAGAACTAAATGCACAGCAAGCCAGACAAGTAAACTGTGCTACTTTTAAAGGGCTTTCTGTTTCAGCCCTCCTATCTGATAGCAAATGGGAACACGGCAGGCTGATTTATAGAGGCTCTCAAGTCAGTGCCGAAGACGTAGCCCAAATTTGGCAATGGCCTAAGAATTATTATTAACTCACGTTGACTCTTCCAGCCTTCTAAGGAACTGGTTGGCCTGTGCAGGAATGGGCCCCGATATTCAACTGGCAATTAGCAGGTAGGTTTGATATTTGGAAATATCAAGTCTTCATAGGTCAGATTTAAAGAGTAATTTGAATATTACGACATAGCCATTCAATCACTCTTGGAAGAAGGCTATAGAAAATTAAAGCTGCCATTAGCTTTATGTACCAGTTGTAAGCACCTTTGCTTGCAGGTATGAGACAAACCAAACACCAATGTTTTTCTAATACATACACAAGAGTATAGAAAAATTAACTTTTTGGACTATAGATCAGGGTGAATTTTTTTAAAAAAAATCAATGTTTTTAATCAATTTAAGTCATAATTTAAATAAAAATTGATATAAAATTTATTTACGTCAAGGTAAAGATTCTCCTTGACATTTTAGTCAGTCGTGTTCGACTCTAGGGGGCGGTGCTCATCCCCGTTTCCATGCCATAGAGCTAGCGTTTGTCCAAAGACAGTTTCCGTTGTCACGTGGCCAGCGCGACTTAGATTTGGAACGCTGTTTATCTTCCCATCGAGATGGTACCTATTTATCTACTTGCATTTACATGCTTTCGAACTGCTAGGTTCGCGAGGAGCTGGGACAAAGCGATGGGAGCTCACTCATCGCGTGGATTCGATCTTACAACTGCTAGTCTTCTGACCCTGCGACACACAGGGTTTAGCCTGCAGCGCCACCATGTCCCTTTATTTAAATTGTCAAAAAAAGCAATTTTGATTTAAATCAAATCCATCTTAGTATAGACCTCAGAATTTGCTAGTCAACATGACCACAGAGCTTGAAATATTCCACTAAGAACTAGGAATGTTTATTGAAGAATTGGCAGACTGCATGCCGAACTACAGCTCTCAGGGTTATTTAGGAGAAGACATGAGAAGTTACACTGGCATAGAAACCAACACTGCTGAAGTACCATTTAAAAAACATGAACTGATGTTTCTTCTTCCTGGCTTAGAATCTGTGAAAGACAGTAAGAGTCAGATTACCTTCACAAGGTCTGAAACGAATTTGTAACCACGACTTACTTTCCAGATGCTTCAGCAGAGCTCGTGTGCTGTTCCCATGAGCAGAAATGAGGACAGTTTTGCCCCTCTTCACTTCTGGGGCTATCCTCTCATTCCAATAGGGGAGAAGTCTATCAAGTACTTCTTTTAGGCTTTCTGCCTTGGGTAGCTTTTCCAAGGGCACATCACAGTGGCTGTATCGGCGATCACTATAGATTTCGTGATAGTAAGGATGGGCTTCAGTGATGGGAGGCGGGGTGACATCATAGCTCCTTCGCCATCTTTTCACCTGCTCCTCGCCATGGTTCAGAGCCATTTCTGCCCGGTTGAGGCCTATGAGGGCACCATAGTGTCGTTCGTTCAGCCGCCAGGAAGCCTCTGTGGGAACCCACTCCTGCCCCATTTCCTCCAGCACATGCCAGGCAGTCTGAATAGAACGGCTGAGGATGGATGTAAACACCAGGTCAAATTCAAAACCAAGTGATTTGAGGTGCCTGCCACAGTTCTGAGCTTCCTTCACCCCATCACGACTCAACTTCTGGTCCACCCAGCTGCAGAAGCGATTCTCTTTGTTCCAAGCACCTTCACCGTGCCTCAGCAGGATAAGTCTGTACTTGACCATCTTGATGTGGTTTTCCTTGGGCTTACAGCAGGAGTAGTGTCTAATGACGCACCATCTACAGAAATGAAACAAATAGGTGAAATGCTTTGGACCACTCCACTGAGGTTCCTCAGAAGCACGGTACGTAGAGATGGACAACTGCAACAAGCAAAAGCTTCCTTGGAAATGTGCTCACCAACTGCAATATGCAGCTCCAGAAGACAGTTGTACATTTTCTAGATCACATTCTTCATCAAGCAGGACAATAGTAATGCCTGGGAGATCTCCAAGGATGGGGTCCGCAGCTTGGGGACGCCTGGGAGATCTCGCCAGTACTGTCAACCCATTAAACATAGGCACAAACCACATTGTGACTCTTCACCATGCTAAAATAATTAGCAACATACAGGGCTTCCTTGATATACATGCAGACGTTTCTCAGCAAACAAACTGAAAGCATTATGTCTTGAAAAAACTACAGAGGTGCCTCACTTTACAATTGCCCCGCATTATGACGAATCCGCTTGATGATCTTTTTGCGATTGCAAATGCGATCGCAAAACGATGGTCTGAATGGGGGAATTTCGCAAAATGACGTTTTTTGAACAGCTGATCAGTGGTTTTTGAACAGCTCACTGCCGGGTGATTAAAATGGCTCCCTGCTGTGTTTAGGGATGGATTCCTCGCTATACAGGCAGCGAAAATGGCCACCGTATGGAAGATCTTTGCTGGATGGTGAGTTTTTACGTTTCAACGGGGTTTTTATTTTTGCTTTACAATGTTTTCGCTTAACGGTGATTTTCCTGGAACAGATTATCGTTGTTAAGCGAGGCACCACTGTACTCTGCGTACACAATAGTCACTGGGTAGAACACTAGGACATGCTAGCAATTGGCTCCCTGGAAGCATGAGGTCAATTTAGCCATTATTTCCTCTGCCTAAAACAGCTTGAAAGAGGCAATAAAAAGGTGAAGTTATTTCCTTACTCACAAGAGAATGTTAATGAAGATCAAACAAAATTGAAAGGTGCTGAGACAGAAAGAAAGTAGGGATAGTTCTCCAAGGTTTGGGGCCTGGCATGTGCGTGTCCTGGAAATCTGAAGTTGTTCACCCAGTTTAGCAGCTCCCAGTGGTGAGAAGAGCTGAGAAGGGAGGAGCACATGGCTATGTGTTCCAGCTGATAACTCATTATGATAATCTAGAGTTCTCTAATGGTCTCCTTGCAAATGCGGTCAATGTCTCCATCACATATCTCTTTCAAATATTTAGCTCTCTTTCACATTATGTAATTGGTTTCTAGTTTTTATCTTAATGATTCACAATATAATGAAAGCACAAGATCAGCTGTCTATTGTCTTCTGCTTATAAAACTTATTTAATGCCTCTACCCCCTTCCACAATCAAACAATAAAGATACTGTACCTTCAATCAAATGTAGCCTAGACGAGGCCCCAGTCATTACATACAAAGGACTAAATTTCAGAAACATGGAGCACCACAGCAAAAGTCACATGTACCTCCGTGGAAGCCATGAAATAATGGGTAGTCTCTAAGAACAGAGAAATAGCACCTGCAGCACTGATCCAAACCCCTTACACGCAGAGGTAGTAACACACTACAATCCTATTTAGGTTTCATAACATCTTAATTACAAAATCCCTTAGGTTATGAAAGCATTCTTTCAATAGGATTGGTTAATTGCTCTCACGCAGGTGTGGGAGATCTAGAACACTGATTCTGCATCTTTGTCGCTCCAGATATTTTAGATCTCTTCTTGCACATAAACCCTAGCCAGCATGGCCAGCAATCAAATTTTGGAAGCCTAAACATCTGGAGGATAGACAGGTGGCTGAAAACCACAGATTTAGGATTGCCTACCCTAGCCTACCCCTTCATGGATTGCTGCCTTGTTGCTGGCTGAAAACCATGGATTTAGGATTGCCTACCCCAGCCTACCACTTCATGGATTGCTGCCTTGTTGTGGCAAAGGGGCTCCAGTAACTCAGAGAAGCTATGGCTATGCCATGCAGGGACACCCAAGACCAGGGGTCAGGAAACTTTTTTACCTTTTACCCCCCAAAAAATTTTTATATGCTGACATTACCCCCTTGATTTGAAAGGAAGGAAATCATACATTATTTGAATTCAAAATCTTATTGAATATATTCAAAATTACTTTGAAAGCTTCAACTTGCTTGAAAACTTCAGGTTTTGGAGAAATGATGTTGCTTCATCTTGGATATG